GTCTTTCCACAGAATATATGGTACGACTTCTGTAATCATTGTGCATTGACTGATACAGGCTTCAATGAGAGGTTTATTAGGCGAAAAGGAACCACGGCAGCTAATTCGAACTATATGTTTCTCTCAAAGAAATCAATCATTAATATACTCTTTACATATTTACCACCTCGTTTTAACATTCCAACATTCTGTGATTCAACAGGTATCTTTGTTGTTTCTTCTGCCAACGAGGTTTTTAGGTGACAAATTTTATAACGGCCTGACGTTTCGACCGATCGTCTTCCTCAAAGGCCTAAACGTGGCTCAAAGTTTGAGAAATGCCATCTACACCGTCAAACGCCTCTTCCTAGCGTTTCTGACGGAACGTTAGGGATCATGACCGGAAATTCCTGAACGAGGGAAATAAACTCACCAGCCTGCCGCCGCAAGAGCGGAATTATCCCACTTCGGTTAGTAACGGTTAGTAAATGAGACGTATCGTCTCATTGCTCGCATGTCAGTAGCTCGCAATGTGATGCAAACGACAAGAGATCATTGATGGTGGATAAACACTCATTGCGGTTGTTCATTCTAGGATTTCTTGCATGAATCCAGAATGCCTCAAGCGCTTTCCTGGCAGAAATCTCAGTCTCGTACGCTAAGAATTTTGCACTTTACATCAAAGTCGTTCCCGTTGTGCTCTTCAACTACATGCTTGCCGAGCGGTGTTGTTATATTGCCGCGCCTTTTTCCAGCAAGATGTTCCTTAACGCGTATTGCTAGAGTCCTTCCAGTTTCCCCTATGTATGTTGCGTTACACACTTGACATTCAATCTGGATAGATCACGCCACTTTTGGCACAATCTCCAACCAAACCGTTGGGCATGTAACGCAATGTTCTGATATGCACTGCCTATCGTAGAGTCTATTTCGCACAAGTTGGCGTTTGATATTGTCATTAGGAATGCTCACTAAGACAACATCATCGTCCAGCTGTGCACGAGCTAGACACCGTTGAATTGCTGCAGTAACGTTATCAGATATAAAGGGGCATGATAAATAACCTTGTTCTGGCGTGACACGCTCCGCTGCTCAGTGTGAGTCCTTCGGTGGTATCGTGGTACAGTATAGCCGTTTGAAGACAGCTATGTTAGAAGCTAGCCGTGTTGATTCCTGCCGTTCTGTCACACCTGTGCACACGTTTGCAGCCGTTCTGAACATGTTCCTAACAACTGCGTTCTTCAAGGCACGAGGATGTGCAGATGTGGCATGAATCAAGATGTTCTTGGAGCTTGCTTTCCTGTACCACTTCACACTGAGCATGCCATCAGACACTTTCACCTGCGTGTTAGGGAAGCCAACCATTGCGTGGAACTTCTCGTGTGAGCTTGATGTACTGTGACTGCTGGTTCATTAGTCGGAAACACTCATCCATTTCGGACTGTGTTGATGTTATAATGAAACAGTCGTCTATATATCTGCAGTACATCAAAGGCAAGCGTTCCAGTACTGGTTCTTCTATTCTGCTCATAAAGCAGATAGCAAGTACTGGAGCTAAACGTTGACCCCCCTTGAATGGGGATAACACTTACCTGACCACCTGAAGATATTGCATTTCAAGCACTCCTTGATTAGAGCCATGCCTATTGAGTGCAAAAGTTCCCATGCTTTTTACATACCTGTCCAACATTTTGGATAGAGCCTGTAGCGCTTGGTCGTTTTGGACATTAGTATAAAGCGGAGCAACATCGAATGACTCTATGACGCAGCTTGTCTCCAAGCGTAAGTTACATAACTCATTTCAGGGAACTTAGTCGTATTGGTCAAGTGAGAAGGAATATAGGGATCAACAGATATCGTTCTTTTTTGATTCCCCTTTCCTGACTGACCGCAATACCACGGTGGTTTTTTAAAAAAGAATTTCTTTTTCAATGCCTTTTGCTTCCCAATTATTTCATATATAATCGTTGAAAGCGGCTTTTTGCTCTAATTCATCTCCACTTTCTCGCTTGCCTACCTTTGTAATCTTGTAAATCCTTAGGTTTTGTCCAATGAAAAATGATAACATGCTTGTCAAAAAATCTCTCTGCCCAATGAAAAAAATAAATGAAGTCCTCGTTCTGGTACGACCGATTCTAGGCGTAAAATCAGCTTCTTAATATTCATTGTCTTGGCGATGTAAACTCCAAGGACCAGATCTGACGAGGTAGCGATCATTGGCCATTGGCTTCTGGTTGGATATCCAAATTCAAAAGAAGAGAGACAGGGCTTATTGCGATCCCAGTATGGAGTGTAAGTCATCGGTTGAACCAAGCACTTGTACTCACTGAAGTTCGTTCGCGACCCTCCGTTTCGGACCATTACGCACTCGTAACGGAAAAGAGCGAAACACTCGCGAATTGGCCTTTTCAATGCTCACCCCGAATCTCCTGATAAACAAAAAGCCTAGATTTTTGACTCTTCAGAGAAGAGATGTCATGAGAATTTACGATTAGAATGAAGGTCGAAGAAAGGGAAATTTACCTAGTTGAGGGACCCACGGACCTCCTGAGGGTGCGAACTGACGCGCAATTCGCATGGAAAAATTTGACCTCGGCGACCTATCATGCCTCAAAGCTGGCGGGTCCGGCGATCTCCGCCCACCGATCATCTGATCACTCGCCGTAGTTCAATACGTGGCGAGTGATTAGATAGCTGAGAGAGCGTAGTGTTGAAGAGGGCACAGCGATGAGAGTCGCATCAATGCTCGAATCAACGGGCAAGAAGGGGTCCCATTTCTCGGGTTCTGGGCCGTTTCTCATGGTTCTTCCTTCTTTCGTGTACCACTCACCATCCCTAGGTTAATTTGAAATGGGTTGCTTTTTCATCGTGAATTCGTCCTTTAAACGTGCTATAAAGCACAAAACTTTTTTTTCTAGTCTTTTCCCATTTTCCACAAGTTTAATTTGAAGGGAGTTGAAACCAGTTGAAGCTTGAAAACTCGCATTTTCAAGAAGAACAGCCCGAACTAATGAGGGAGAAAAAACGGGTAAGTAGGATATTTTCGACCCGATCAATTACGGATGGTGCTCATGTGTTCTTTAGAAAGCTTAAACCTTTTCTGCAGGTTCTAAAGAATTGCAAAAAGTTGAAAAGAAGTAAGTTATAGCATTTCAGAGCCCCAAAAACCCGCATCTGGGCAAAAATGGACCAACGTTAAGATTTTCTGTAGAAATGAACTTCACGAAAGTTTGAGTACTTTTTGGAAAGGTAACTATTCGCAACTTTCGACTTTCTTACCACTTTTTGAAACTTTATATTCGGAGGAAACTACGACCTTTCAAAAGAATAAGTGCGCTTTTCTATGAAATCTGGACTTTTCATTTCATAACAAGAAGAGTTTCTAAGATATTGCTCAATTATAGAGTTTCCTGAATGTGCCAGACCCAGAGATAACAAATCTACCTCAAATTTGAAAAAATTAGTCTGTAGGAATTATTCGAAGATTAGTGGCTCGAGTTGATTTCTTTCCGAGGGATATAGGGAGGATTATGCGCGCTGATGGAAAGCACGCAACGTGCCCGCGCACAAATCGCATTGGCGCATCTCTACACACGCAATGGCTGTTACTTCGGGAAGGAGAGGGTCTCATTAAGACTCTATGAAGGGAGGGTCGTAAAATTTGTGAAACTGGTAATGTGACGGTTGACGCGGCCATGCAAGGGTTCGATATGACATTCTCTGAGCAGGGTCAACCTCCCTGAATCAGTCTCATGGGGCGCAAATCTCTTAATTCTGATCCCTTAATACTTTGTTTTTTTTTTCGAATTTTCTCCAAAATTTCGAAAAAAAAAACGTCCAAAACAGTTCCCTTCCCTCTACCGTCACACCTACCCCTTTACTTCCAAGCACAAATATTCCTCCCATTCCAACCTTTTGACCTTCACCAACCACAAATAGTACGATGCCCCTCGAGGAAGAACTCAAATACGATCCTTCTTCCCTCCCCTCCACCTTGAGAATTGCGAATGCCTGCCTAAACATTTCAAGGCTTTGGACCGTTGCGCAACTTCCATCATTCAAATGTTTCATAAGCTCATCCAATATTAGGTTGTTGCAGTAGTTTTTAAATGTACACAAAATTTGTTTGAACAGCAAAACTTGGTCTCCCGGAGTTAGATTTTTTATAGTCTCAGAATTGTCTCTCCTCCATTACGTGCCGCGTTGATCGTATGAACAACATCTAGATGGGGTGTGACAAGAGCTGTCCAGCAGAGGAGTTGAAGGTCCTCAGTTCGGTCTCGCATATTTTAATTGGTGATTATTTTGATATATACGTAAAACTACTTCATGAAACGATTGTTTCTATTTGTCGCCGAGGGTTCTATGGGAGCTGGATTCAACTCCTCACGATATCGTGGAATGGACGTTCACACTCACTTTTGGTTAGTTATGGATCATATGAAAATAAGTAGAAAGACAAAAGAATATGGTCAAAGAGAAGTTGCTTCCACAGGGTGCGCCAAAATTACTTGCTCAAACTTTCTTCCCTATGAGAACTGTAAAACAAAAATTGAGGTCTCGTTTTCTGAAAGAAGTTCTACGAATGAAATGCCATTACCAAACCCGGCTTCACACTTCAAAGCGTCTCTTTCGAACCGAGCTTTAGCCTTTAGTTGTGAGGAGAGGTCGTCCACTGTGGCGCGTAGGTGCTCCAAAAAATTTCTTCCTAAACGTAGAGCAGGTTCGTTATCTGGGCTGCGGCTGGGTGGTGTTGTTACGAGCAGGCCTTGCTCTCTAAAAAGCTCAACACGAAATATTCCACTCTGTTGAAGTAAGTACTTTTGATTGACCGTAATTGAGCGCTGGTGAGACCAGGGCTGGTGTTCTCGCGTGCTGCGATGTCACCTTCGATCTACCAACTAGTGCTGCACCCTGCTGAAACACGAGCGGTCCGGATCCATTGTGGGATTCTGTCCAGGAAAGTGAGATGTTAGTCAGCACACCTTCCAGGTTAACCTCTGCTTCAGTTGGAGTATCCTCTTTGATAAAAACAAGTGGGGACACGACTTCATGGCTAATCGCAAACCAAACCATGATTTTGTTGCCTTTCCGTAACATTCACGAATTCTCCATCTATCGTCAGCTTCCACCGTCCTAGGCAAAGTCCTCCATCATTTTGACGATCGGAAGTTGAGTTCACCTGAACGGCATTTCACCGAAAAGACCATCTCTTGGTGGCGCGCCGACGTAATCATTCGGAAAACATACCAAGTTCTCGCACCGGATTACCTTTATGGAATGGAACATGGAGTGAGGCATTTTGGTAGCTATCAATCCAAAGTGATAGCTTTTTCTCAGCAATATGACAGCTTGAGAGATAGACTTTTCTAGCTTCTTGACTATGTTTGTTAGCGACCTCGTCAGATTGGGCCGCACCATATCTCGTACCACTTTAAATTTTTCGTGGAAGTTGCAGCTGGTGGTGTCCACCATTCTCAGCGGTATTTCATAGCTTCGGAGTCCTTTTATCATTTGATGACAAACTCCACAGTTATGCCACGTACTAGTAGTATTTTGGCTATTGTTTTCGCACTGGGACCAAGCACGTTCAACTGAGTGGTCATGGCTCAGGGAGAAATAAAGTCCAACCATTCTGAAAAACGTGGGCGCTGAGAAGTGGATTTGAAGCACTGATAGAGGACGTGGTAACAAAAGGAATGACCACCAATTGCTCGCTATCGCTCACAAGTATCAACGGAACAACCGCTGTAACTTTGAGCAAGTAATTTCGGCGCACCCTGTATACTCACGGATCTCTTTGCTACAACCTAATATTTCGGTTCGGAGAGTGTGTAGACAGTGCTATGGAAGAACACGAACTCTAGATCAAGTTAGAGGTCTTCGTGGCTAATGAAGGAACGACATGTGCCGCGATAGGCAGATAGCCTTGTGTGCATCCTTTAGTGACGGTTCCCTGCCCTTAGTGCGAAAATAACTCGAACTTGTTGTTAGCGATCAGCGATCTACGCAACGAGATGTCTACGTCTCGCTCGTCTCCTAAACTCTCTCCCTCTCCTGTTCTCCTAAACTCTCTCCCTCTCCTGTTTTCTCTTCTTGGCTTCTCAGTGTCTGCGTTATACAATTCCCCACTCAGGTCGTGGAATGGGCTTTGATTAGCTGTTCTATCCACGTCTCTGGCGGCCTACCTTCAACCTGTAATCAACTGCAATCGTAGTACTTTTTATAGGCCTTTTGGAATTAAAATGTGCTGCCTCTGTAGCTTGTTCATAAAAAAGCTAGAAAAAGTTTCACAAGAATGCTGGGTTGTGAACAAAACTTTCGCCCCAGGCGGGACTAGAACCCGCACCTCTCGCTTTCCGGGCAAGTGCGCTACCAGTTACGCTACCGGGGCACCATTTCATTCCAACTCAGCTTTTCATGGTATACGTACCATAGCTTTCAGCACTCACACGTCTAACGTGTTGAGCCGGTTAGCCGATATCGGCAATGACCGCGAGGCTGAAAGCTTTAGCAATGATTTTGACTTGTTTTGTTTGTTAACTGCTGTTTTAACGCCGCATTTTTGCTGTGAAACATTCGCAACGCGAACTGCGGCGTTAAAACAGCAGTTAACAAACAAAACAAGTCAAAATTCATTGCTAAAGCTTTCAGCCTCGCGGTCATTGCCGATATCGGCTAACCGGCTCAATACGAAGTTATGGTACCGTATACCATGAAAAGCTGAGTTGGAATGAAATGGTGCCCCGGTAGCGTAACTGGTAGCGCACTTGCCCGGAAAGCGAGAGGTGCGGGTTCTAGTCCCGCCTGGGGCGAAAGTTTTGTTCACAACCCAGCATTCTTGTGAAACATTCGCAACGCGAACTGCGGCGGTAAAACAGCAGTTAACAAACAAAAAAGCTAGAAAAAGTCTTTTCAGACTGCTGAAGAGTCATTGAAATCTTTGAAGCCACTGCCCTCACTTGACACGTTCAATTCTGCATTGGAATCAGATCTCACGTCAACAACCCAAACAAATCCTGCACAAGTTCGGAAGAAGTTGAAGCTAACCGTGAGTTACGATTATAAATTATTCCCTAGTTGTGAAATCTGAAACGACAACCGATATGTCCGTTGTCTGATAGACGTAGGCAGCATGATCGCAATGATTAATGACTTAACAAGGCTAGACAACTGCGTGTGTCTTCTCGCGATTTCTTTCATGCATTAATTCAAAGTTGTGATGAATCAATTGGAGCATAATGTCGGCGTACATGATATATTACTCTTTATTAGGTTTCGTTCGAAAGTGCATTTCGCTTTTACACTAATCGAACATACTCGTCTTTTCGTTGCTATTAGAATTCTGATTTTTACATATAATACATAACAAAATTAGTGCTATGTGGAATACGGTGGTGGTGGATCCCTCATCAGCGCCACGATAAGCTCTTGGTCCGGTGTGTGCCTGAAAGAAAGTATGCGTGAATTTAAAGGTAGCATAGACTTATGTTAGTCAGTTTGTTGAGGGACAAGGGATGCTCCTTCAGGTGTTTCTCGATAATTCAACGCTTTTAGGAATTTTTGGACGCGTCAAAAGTCGGATTTAAGAACTTGTGAACCATTTGCATCTCTTCCATCTCAAAGCTTATTTTCCATCCAAGGCAGATCAAATTAATTGGTTCACGTGAAGTTAGATTCTGCTGAATCATACGTGTGATAGTGGTGCGCTCATTTTCACTTAAGGATTACAATACATGGTTGAAAGTTGGAGAAGGGGAAGCCAACCCGAGGGAAATACACCCGGACCCTCTATGGGTGCGGGTCGACACGCGGTCCGCTACGAAGGAAATGTCCCCGGTGATTTAGTATGGTCGTCCCGCGCCGGTGGTGGACTGCGGCATGCCCACTCTTTTGCCATCAAAACCTCTAGCCGTTCAACAGGAAAGCGTTAGCGTTATCAACTGTCAGAATAGGGCTCCCATTACTTGGGTTCTGGGCTGTTTCATAGTTTTTCTTCATCTCTGCATCGCTGATTACCTCTAAATTAACATCGTCTGGCATGATGTCATGCCACACTCTTTCGGTCGCGTGGGACCATGTGACAGCTCAAACGTGACGTCATGTCTCAGTCTCATTTGAGTCTGGCTTTCAAACTTTTTAGGAATCTTCCTTATGAAATGTGTACGCCGCACTTTTTGCGCTTGGACTCAAAGTAAGTGGTACATAATAGTTTGTAACAACTATTAACTGCAACGGGTGAGAACGCTTTTGGTAGGAGATGGAGCATATGCGCGATCTTGCACAGTTGTACCCACTTCTGCTTTTCTGTGAACGATTTCCTTCGCTTTCTTGATTCTTCTTCGAGTCTATGAGTGGTATCCGATATGATGGCAATCTAGCAATCATTCTGTAGGCTCAAGATAGAGAGACCAGGAGGTGATCTTATGAGAATACCCTCTCGATCGCGCGTTAGCTTTAGCCCTTTTTACACACTCGGAAGTCGCAGGATTCGCTGAAGTTATCAAAATCGAAAAATCTAACAAGTGCTGCACAAGATAACGAATAAACAGTTCCCAATAAAGGTGTTCTCATGGGACCATGTGACGTGATGTCGTCACACATTCACGCGATCCCACACGCCGGACAGCTAAAACGACCGCCGTTGCCAAACTGTTACTTTCATAATTACTGAGTTCTGATTGGAAGCTCTGCCTTCAGTGATACAGGGATGAAGAAAACCAATCAAGTAACCTAGAACCCAAGAAATGGGATCCTCATTTGCTCGCTGATTTGTGCGTTAGTCGTGTCTCATCGATGCTGACCTCATCAACGCTAATATTCTCTCTTAGGCGGCTTGAGCCAAGCAGCGAGGGGATGGCGGGCGGCGATAGTGGCGCGGGGACGGCCATGCCCTATCGCCGGCGCATTTTCACCTTCCTCGACCTTGTCGTGGAATGCTTCTTCAAATCACAGTGATTTATCATCACAGTGTTAGGGCACGGTGTTGCGCCCAAATCGGAAAAATAATCCCAAGTTGTTGGCCCCTACACAGTGCTCCCGTAGCTGCGCTGGGGCCGATATTAGACTTTGCAATTCTAGCGAATCGTGAGGTATGAGCGACGCGCCAGCGTCTCGAACGATGCTATACTGGCGCGGGTACGGCCTTGCCAAATCGCCGGAGGCGTATCCTTCGCTGTGAAATTGCGTGTCGGTCTGCACCTCTAGGGGTCCGCCCTTTTTTCCACTAGGTATGTTTCCCCATCTCAAACCTTCCACCTTACCGTGGAATCTTCTTTCAAGGGCACGAACTGAAGAATGAAGAATTAGAATAATACATTCAACTAATTGAATGGTGAATTCGGTTCACCTACGATACAAATCTGCTCAGTTCGGAGCTGGTATCAAGAACCTCCTTGAAGAAAACAGTGTGCGATGCGGAATTGATGTAATTTCCAGTAGGAGTGTATAATAAGAGCCACGTTTGATTGATCTTAGGCGTCCCTTACCCTTCTTTTGAAATCTTATACATTATTCAAGTTATTTTTTCGATGACTTTACAAGATCGG